TGTTTTAACAGGTCAGGGCCGATTATTCCGTCGAAGGAAGACAAGTCGGGTAGTATAAGGAACGTAGCCTTTAAATTAAACATTGATACGAAGCATTTCTTCATAACTTTGGTAGTGCCATGGATTGAATGTATTGGGAATGGGGATTCTACGGGGTGAACGCCTTTCAACCCTTTGTGAGGTCGGATGAAATTTTTTGACGCGCCCGTGTCGATAAGAAACCTCATATCGGTCCCCGCTACTCTTCGTCTGATGACGGGCAGCAGGGATCTTCCCCTACAAAATTATTGACATCAGAGTCATAATCTGTGATGATGTTATCATCGATTTTCTCCGCCGCCTTGGAAGCTGTGCTGGCGTATGACCCTGGTTCATTTCCTACACCCTGGGTGACGTGATTTACCCTTTGCTGTTGCTTTGCTTTGGTTCGGTCGGACGTGGCAGGTCTCCGATTTTGGTAGGCTTGCGTTTGAACGGGTGGAATTATTTTTGAAAGTGAGGGATCAATGTCCATAGGTTCTGAACTGTAACTTCTGTTTTGGATGTTATTATTGCGCTGATCGGAATGGATTTGCGCCCTAGTCTGTCTAGAAAAGTGCGGGTTTTTGCCGCCATCTATTTGAGAGTCCGCCGGCTGATGGTTTTTTACCTGTTGCCGATTTTGTGTTTTTTCGCCTATTTTGCGATCTTCTTGGCTTTTTGCAAAGGCTGCCGCGAAGGTGTACCTTTCATGGTTGGACTCAACCTCTTGTGCTAGGGCCAGGGCCGTCGGCAAATCTTTAGGGTTTGCCGCAAAGAGCACGTCTGTAAGATTTCGCCTAAGTCCTGATATGAATACTCTCAGAGCGTCATCCCTGAATTTGTCACACAGAGCTTTTGCCATACCCGAATCATGTGACATATGCACCTTATTTGTTAACAAAGTGAGTTTTTTCTCTACTTCGTCATAATAGTTTAGCAGAGTTAGGCCCCCTTGCCTTAAAGTTCCTAACTCCTGTTCGATGACGTGCATCGGTCGTTTGTCACTGTACGTGAAATCAAGGCGACTTATTATCGCGTCAAAATTCAGCACTGTGCCAAACCAGGACAACACCGCATCGGCAGGGCCCCTGACCTTGCTTGTGATAATGATAACTGCCTGGTAGTGGCGTGAGCTACCATTATATCGTCTAAAAATATGATAAGCGGCGACGGCCGCTTGTCTCCATGAAACGTATGAATCTTGTACCCCTGAAAATTCTGGCAGGCACTTGACGGCATCCAATGGCTCGTCACATCGAACATTGTCATTAATCTCTATATCTTCATATGTTGTAATTTCTAAGGTTTGGGCTGGCTTCGGTTGTACCCTAACTTCAGCCACTTGAGCAGCGAGCAGCTCGATCGTCTGCCGCAGCTCCAGGTCTCTTCGGTGATTTTGCGCGGCCTGCTCTGCCAGCGCTCTGCCGACGGCAGCGTACTGGGGGGTAGAGGGGCTTGCGTTTTACTGTAAGGCTGTGACTGTGACTGTGACCGCTCTCTTCGCTCCCGGACTCGGAGTCGCTAGAAAAAACTTTTTTGTTCCTATACTGACGGAAGGCGTCGTTCATGAGAGCGACTGAGAGCACTCTTACAACTAAACGTTTGCATAAGCAGTTCCCAAAAGAAAAGAATGCAGAAAAAACAAAGACAAAGTCAGGCGGCCGTTTCGTATTACTGCGTGGCCCGAACAGAAAGACACAGAAAAAACAACCAGAATAAATAAAATTCAAAGTTAAAAGGCTGATTTCCACTAATTGTGTTTGATTTTCTATTTGTTGGTTAGTACGTTATACTTGCAGTGTATTTTTTATTTATTACTTTTTATTTTTTAAACACGGCGATTAATATTTTTCGTATTTGTCGCATAAAATATTTGCAGATAAAAACTTGGGACACGTAAAAGACTGGGAATTTTTGCAGACTAAAAGTTAAATAGCCGGAGGAGTCCACTTACATTTTTTGTGAAATGGTTTTCCTATCCTAGTTTCCCTCTTAGGTCCGAATTTATGCGGGTGGGTTTTCCGCGAGCTGTGCGCCAATTAGTATTTAACTCCGTAGAGGTTCCCTCGCAGCCGTCTCCGTGAAGGTAGCCGGTTGGCTGTTGTCATCCGTCGATAAATTAGGAAGAATAGGGTGGAAGGGTGACTGCCCTACTTTACCGGCTGGCCTAGAGACTCAGTCAGTGTGAAATAATAAGATCTTTAACGGCGGTAGCCGGAGTTAAATATTATCAGAGCTGGTGCTCTTTATTCAAGGCTTTGATATAAACTGAATTGAAAAGAAACTTAAAGCTAACAAAAGACTCACAGCGGCCACGCAAATATGCAGTGCTTGCCGTCTGTGCACGAGCATCCGGCCTAAATGCTGGATCAGCAGTTTCGGCCGAAGCTAAATAACAACAAAAGTCAGCGGCTGGTACATTGACTTTTGCTGGTTTATGTTGACTTGTTAACTTATATGCAAGGCGTGAACATGCTTCGGGTAATACAGAACAAGAAAACACATCCTGAAAGTTATGGGTTCCTCAACAGTTACGTTCAGAATTGATAGGTAAAGCACACAATCCACAAGTAGCAGCTCATGGAGGCAGCGGAAAAACCGTCGAGTTAATTCGCAGAATTTTTTTTTGGCCTGGACTTGTCAAATATGTTTATTCTTTTATAAGACAATGTGACATATGTAAAGCTACTAAATCTCCAAATATGATTCTTCGAGCTCCTATGGGAAAATTTGTAGCGGTTCGGTAGTCTTGTATCCTGTTAAGTAAAACTGATTTATGTTACGTTAGTTTGTAATAAACCTTTATTATGAACATTGAAATGATTAGTATTGTTATTTAAATTGTTGAGATTTTGGAAATGATTTGGTTATACTTGGATTCCACAACGGGAAGCAAGGGTTAAGATAATTCGGTAACATTTGTATTATGGGTTTCACACAACTCGGCTACGGAAACCATGGTAGGGAGGGTAAAGAGCCAGCCTCTCAACAACATCACAGAGTGGTTTTAAAGAATGTAGATACGCCCCAGACCTTAGTATCCCATTTAATTAGTAAACAATAGTTCGAATCAAAGAATAAAGTTTATGATAGAGGGACTCTGTAATATATTAGTGTGATGAATGTCCAGAGTTTTATTGCCAAAAACTCACCCCGTCCCAACTGACTGCTAGCGCTAAGACGGGTCCCGCCGGCATTCAAATTTTGGATAGAGCAGAAGTTTTATGTGGGTTAAGTATAACGAATTCTAATAGGATTCGCGATCAAGAATAGAAGCTGCTCGTTGCCTACACCAATAACTTTTCAAAAAATACCCGCTAGAACTCAACACACACGACCATCATTACACGGTCGCGAAATACCCTGCTCTCTTAGCAAAATGAACCCTAAATTTTAGAAATTCGCCATAAAACTATATTTTTTTTAATCCAAGAAAAGATTTCTATTTTCAAGGAATTTTTTTCTTATAACAAGAAAACTTTTCTTGAATCAAGAAAGTGTTTCTCAAATGTAGAAATTGTCGCCATGAAATAAACTCGTCGAAGAAAAAAATTCTATATTTTAGTAAAAATGGTACTTGTTTTTAGAAATTTTTTTCTTAAAATGAGGAATTCCGCCCTAAAAAATAATTTACCTTAAAAAATAGAACATTTTTCTCAAATTAACCTTAAAAATTAGATAACCCTAAAAAATAGAAACGCTTTCTTAAATAAAGAAATATTTTATAAAAAATAAAAATGAACTCCAAAATATAGAAATATTTTCTATAACATAGAAAACATTTTCTAAATTATCACACCCTGACCATAAAATTGTTCTAACCCTGTCCGAGTACCCTAGAAGCTAGAACGTCTGACCAGAAATCTAAGCACAGCAAGTTCAGTTTCAACTGCCGTCGGGCTGTTTGGGGGAAGACTATAAAAATGTCACCCTTAGGTTATGTAATAATAACGCTTTTAATTTTATAAGTTTAAGTACGTGTCGTGTTTATTCTGCCAGTCGAATCTGCACTGCTGCAGCCGAAAGCCTGGCTTCATATTTTAATACGGGTTTTACAATGTAGTCGCTGAATAGGTAGCGCGACAGCTTAGCGAGATAAGGCAAATATAAAGAGGAGAGCGCAAGAGCGCAAGAGCGCTACAGGTTCAGCCATACACCTATGCGCACTAGACTAGGCGCTGGCGGGCTGCTTCGAACATACTCCCCCCGTTGGAGGAAGTAGGGCTCCAACTAAATGGGAATCGATGGGCAGAACGGCTAACTTGGCGACTGCTCTCTTGACTAGACCCGTAGCCGTACGGACCATAGCTACTCTGACGACGCCGTCCTCGCCTGGGACGACTCCTTGGATGCACCCCAGCTGCCATTTCAAGGGTGGAAGGTTGTCCTCCTTCAGCAACACGATGCTTTCGACATTGATGTTGGATGTTTCGACGCGCCAATTACTCCTTTCTTGGAGCAAGGATAAATATTCGCTGCTCCACTGCTTCCAGTGGATGCTGCTGCATCTGTGTCACCCTTTGCCATCTGCTGAGGCAACCTTCTCGGAGATGCATGATATCAGGCTCAGGAAACTTTGTGTAGCTGGAGCCTTTCAGGAAATAGGCCGGCGTTAGCACCTCAAGACTTTCAGCGTTTTCTGAAATTCGACAGAGTGCACGGGAGTTAAGGATGGCAGAAATCTCATAAGCGAGAGTTCTCAATTCATCGAGGCCCAAGATGGAAGCACCGACGACTCTATAAAAGTGAAATTTGGCCGATTTAACAGCCGCCTCCCATAAACCACCGAAATGTGGGGCACGCGGAGGTATGAACTTCCAATCAACCCCATCAGCTAAGCAGGAGGAAGCTATCGCAGCCGTGTGGGGTTCGCTCAGAAATAGATTTTTCAGCTCGGTTAGCTCGCTCTTAGCGCCAAAATTCGTCGCATTGTCACTCCAAATAGTGCGCGGAGTGCCTCTCAGGCTGGTGGAGAAGATTCAGAACGCTGCGATGAAAGAATCCGTTGTGAGATCGTGGACGACTTCCAAATGCGTGGGCTTCGTAGAGAAGCAGACAAAGACGGCAATGTAGCACTTGTGAGGCGCCTTGTTGCGGGCCTCTGCCTTTTGATAAAATGGTCCACAATAATCCACTCCCGTGGTATGAAATGATGGGTTAGCCTGAACTCGATTTGCTGGCAAGCTGCCTATAACGTGCTCCCAAGTGACAGGCTTCATCCGAAAACATCTGACGCATTTGTTGATAACGGTAGCCACGAACTTTCGTCTTCCAATTGGCCAATATCTTTGCTTTGATGTGGCAAGTAATGCTTGCGATCCTGCGTGCAAATATTTTATATGAAAATATACAATGATTGCCTTGGTAACTGGATGATCCTTGGGTAACCATATCGGATGCTGCCTATCGTAGTCCAGGTTTGCATTCTGAAGTCTTCCACCAACGCGAAGTAATCCATCGGAGCCCATTATTGGTCTCAGCGAAATCAGCTTGCTCTTCTGTGGGCACGGCCTGTCCTGGCTAAGACATCCATACTCCTTGGCTAAATAATGCTCCTCAGAAGAAGTATGGTCCCCGAATTGAGCTCCTCAACGGTAACACTGTTCCTTGAAGGTGAAGATTTTGCTCTGCAATTCGAAATGAACCGATAAATGTTCGCAAATACACGCTGCAACTTATGAAAAGAGTCAAGGAATTTGCAGTTGATCGAAATGTCAGTGCAAACAGTTCCAACTAGCGCTGCGGAACGACGTTCTAGAAGATCCTTAACTGCATTTGGAAGAGAGGGCCATTTTGACGAGCTTTGCAGCAGGAATGGAGGCCCGTTAGCCCACAGGGAGTGCTCCAGTAATTCTCTCGGGGTACAGCCTCGCGATACGACATCCGCCGGATTTAAGCTTGTTGGAACATGGTGCCAAGTCATGCCTTTTGTCATCTCCTGAATTTTCGCGATTCTGTTGGATACAGATACGTTGAAATCCCTCGGAGGCTGCCGAATCCACGCCAGTACGATAGACGAGTCTGCCCAGCAATGAAAGTCGCATTCGAAATCGATGGTTTCCTCGACGCTTACGATAAGCTCCGCCAATAAAAGCGCTGTCGAGAACTCCAATCTTGGAATTGTCAAAGCCTTTAAAGGGGCCACTCTCGACTTGACGCAGAGCAAATGGACCTTTGCTTCTCCATTGGCCTCCGACCGCAAGTATAAACACGGTCCATAAGCCGCTATGCTAGCATCGCAGAATCCATGCAACTGGATGGAAGACTGAGGTTGCATTACGAATCGTGAAAATTTCAAGTTTTGGACGATCGATAACTGAGAGGTCAACTCCCCCAATGACGAAAGAATAGGCTCTGGTAATGTGTCATCCCAATCCACTTTAGCATTCCATTGGGATTGCAAAAAGATCTGGCCTTTGTGACAATCGGTGTTATTAAACCGAGCGGATCATAGAATTTGGCTATTGTTGAAAGTGCAATACGCTTGGTGACTCGATGATTTACAGATAATTGAGAAAAGTTGAACAGAAGTTGGTCAGAAGAAGGTTCCCAGGCTAATCCCAGCGCCTTGGTAACAGCTGATCCGTCGTGAAATTGAATTAGCTTCTCCTTATCGCAGTCAGACTCTCCTTCGAGGGCGCGTCCATCATTAGAACACCATTTGCGGATAGGAAAATGGCCTCGCGACAATAGCTCCTTCACCTGACGACGAATTTCCCTAACCTCTTCAATTGACTCGCCACCAGAGATTAAATCATCCACGTAGAAGTCCCTACGAACAATTTTTGCTCCAATTGGAAACGAATCCTCTTCATCATAAGAGAGCTGATGCATGGCTCTTATAGCCAAAAAGGCAGCTGGCTTGGTACCATAAGTCACCGTGTTCAGTTTGTAAACCCTGAACTCATCCGCGGACTTCTCTCGCCAAACAATACACTGCAAAAAGTCATCCGGGTGCGACACACGCACGCAGCGGTACATCTTGCAGATGTCTCCACAGAGGGCAACTTTAAAAAATCGGAAGCGAAGTAGAATGTTAAAGATTTTTTGCTGAATTGTTGGCCCTGCAAGAAGCAAGTCGTTCGGAGAGCTGCCAGAAGTAGTTCTAGCAGACCCGTCAAAGACGACCCGAAGCTTTGTGCTCGTACTTTCCTGCTTATGTACACAATACTGTGGCAAGAAGAATTGTGGTACTGTTGGATCCTTTGGTGCGAGAGACATGTGGCCTAAGTTGATGTACTCCTGGAGAAAAGCCGAATACTGAGCTTTGAAAACAGTGTTTCTATCTAGCTTAGCTTCCAAATTCCTAAAACGTGGACGAGCTAGGCAATAGGAATCACCTTAAGTTTCGAATCCCGAAGTGGATAAGAGACGAACAGAGTATTGTCCATTCCCAAGTCTAGTGCAGTTTTCCTTGAACAGTTGTTCGCATTGCAAGTCCTCAGGCAACAGTGCTGGCTTTGATGGATTACAATCCTCAATTTCCCAAAATTGCTTTACTATGGCGGCAAGTGCGTCATTCTCAGAATGATCCGTAGTATCCTTGACAATGGCGGCTAAGACAGACTTATGATTTGGAGTAGTCGACATCCCACCAGAAACGATCCAACCAAGTTTGGTGTTTTGGGAGTGTTGGCTACATGCTATCCAAATGTATTTGCCCCATAGCAATTATTTCGAAAAACAGACCAGCGCCAATTAACAAGTCGATTCGTTGTGATTGGTTGAAATAAGGGTCAGCGAGCGAAATATTTTGTGGAATCCTCCATTCTGATGTATTTATGTTGAAATTCGGCTGATAATCAGTGATACTGTGAGCCACAACAGCTGTGAATGACGCACGATAGCCTGCATCCCGTGATTGCGCAAAAATATCCACTGATCTATCAGAGTTCATAGAGGACTCACCGATCCCAGAAATGAGTGTATGCGAATGCCTATATTTCAAATTTAACTGGCTAGCTAGGCGCGTAGTTATGAAGTTTAATTGAGAAGCGGAATCTAAGATTGCTCGACAGGGCATAAATGAACCAACCCTATTTTTTACATAGACAATAGCAGTAGGCAGCAACACGTAATTTATTGGCATAGTATTTGAAGCATTTGGTGGAGAGTGCGATACCTGACGATCAAGTTGTGAGCATGACACCAGTGCTGATTAAGTATATGGTGATGGCTGAGAGCTCGAGAGTGGGTCTGATGATGGAGGTGGTGCAGATGAGTCAGGGGTCATATGCAAAAGTGAGTGGTGCTTCATGCGACAATATCTGCAATGAGTTGATTTACATTGCTGCAAACTATGCCCCTTGCGCAAACAGTTCAGACAAATGTGCATTTTCTTGGCTTCTCTAAATCGAAGATGCGGGCTCAAATTTAAAAATCGAGAGCACTTTGGCAAATAATGATCTCTCGCATCGCAAAATAGGCATATTGGATGATTTAAGTTAGTAGAAGACGCAATGAGTGCACTGGGGTTATATTTATGCACATTTTTTCCTACCTGATGGCCTGGTGTTTGCGTTACCAAAGCTTGATCCAAATTTTCCATCATCCTGCACCTCCTCTCTAAAAACGACTCCATAGCAGTCCATGAAGATAATTCAGCGATTGGCAAATCCTTTTCCCATTTTTCCCGAGTCCGTTGATCCAGCTTGTGAACGACGATATGAATCAGTAATCCATCCAAAATTTGCTGTGTAGTGGCCAGCGTATGGATTGCCCGAAAATGTGCGTTCATGGAATCGCTGAGCTCACGAAGACCCTTGGCAGATCCCTTCTCGACACCTTTTAAACCAAATATTGCCTGAACGTGTGCCTGAAAATGTAAAACTTTATTATCAAATCGATTTATGAGCAGATTCAAAGCCTTTTTATAATTGTCATTTGAAGGTTCGAGCGAGCGTATGGTCTCCAGAGCCACGCCGCCTAGACTAGACCGTAAATATTGCAGCTTTTCAATGTCGCTTAGCTCGTCATCATTTCCAATGACCGCGGTAAACTTTGCGAGAAAGTCCGGCCACTCAGCATAAGATCCGTGAAAACGAGCAATCTCCAGGTTGGGTAATCGAGGCTTCCGTGTCCGAAAAGAAAGATCAGAATGATGGTTCATGTCTATAGATGTGGATTTGGCAGCTGTGCTACCCGACAATTGTAATTTGCGCTGGGCCGCTAAGCCTCTATTGCGCTTCGCCTTCACATCCATAAAAACCTCCGAAAATTCCCATCGCCTATCACTGGAAGTCTCCTTTAAATCCAGCCGTTCCAGCGATGTCTGTGCGGAGTCAAATGACGAATCGCGCGAGAACATCAGCTCCATCATCGCGTTTGTTTGCCGCAGAATTGATTGCACTTTGGCGCGAAAAAATTCTATTTCATTTGGCGCGTCATTTTGAGGGCGAACCGCGTTTTCTGGAGCAGCCATTTGTTAGTCGCACGTAAAAAAAATGAAAGAAAAATGTCCGAACCGGTTAAGAGAAGTGAATAACCTTTTAACTTCTGCCGCGAAAAATGCGCGGCACCAAGCGTCGTCGAAAACGGACAGCGGACTTGAAAATATGTATATGTATGCACTATGCACTTTTAGAATAGTTAAATGTTATTCTCCTTTTGTTTATAATTTGCAGCAACACTGTTTTGATTTTTTCACAGCGCGAAATGAAGGAAAAGATCAACCGCCTGCCGGCTTTTCACAGCCCGAAATGTAAAACTTAAACGGCCAGTTGTGTGCACTTGTATGTAAGTCCGTGTGTTTGTGACCGAATGCCCGCAAACGACAGCGAAACCAAAATATATTGTTTAAACGATATTAAACAATAATAAAATCGAGTTGCAGACGGCAAATAAAACAGCGATCACGTCGGGGTCACCAAAATGTTTGGGGGAAGACAACAAAAATGCCACCCTTAGGTTATGTAATAATAACGCTTTTAATTTTATAAGTTTATGTACGTGTCGTGTTTATTTTGCCAGGCGAATCTGCACTGCTGCAGCCGAAAGCCTGGCTTCATATTTTAATTCGGGTTTTACAATGTAGTCGCTGAATAGGTAGCGCGACAGCTTAGCGAGATAAGGCAAATATAAAGAGTAGAGCGGAAGAGCGGTACAGGTTCAGGCATACACCTATGCGCACTAGACTAGGCGCTGGCGGGATGCTCCGAACATACATTTTTTTTACTTGTGTTATTAACACACATGAGAAGTAATGTTTAGAACGACTAAAAGTTTTTTTAAAACTCATAATTGTACACAATTTCTCTCCCTTCCCCATAGGATTCTAGTTGAAATCGATCTTGGCAATTCATTAGTGCAATACTAATTATAAACTTTGTGACTTTTCTGAATGAAAAGCGAAATGCTTAAATCCAATTCATATGTATACACATACATAAATATAAATATAAGTCCATAAATCCTGAATGAAAACTTACATAATGATAATGTTTTTAGGGCTATTTGCCTTAGATTTTAT